TATAACATCAAACAGGCCTTGTCAACTCACTTGACTAAGCTTATCTTATGTAACTCTAAGACTTTGAATAAATTTTTTTTAATTATTTGGTCTTTGCAGTTCAGTTGATTAGTGACTTTTAGTCAGGTCAAATTATTCTGAGAACTAATGTGTTAGCCGGTTTTTGTGACACTTTTACGAGGACAAAACAGATCACAATACAGGTTACAATTTTATATTTAGTCATTTTACGAAAGTCCTAATTGCTTTATAGCTATTGTGTAACACACTATTTACCACCATTTTATTTTAAACAAGGAAAAAAAACACAGACAAGAGAAACAGAACCACACACAAATGCAATGGCTAGATCCTTCAACAGAGTTTTTTTGGGGTGATCTTGGTACTAGGTAAATGTGCTGTGAAGGTGGAACAGTTCATTGACGTGAATACTTTTCAGCTGCCTGAAAGAAGTGACCCACTATATGTAGTGGTCATAGCAAATGGCTGTCAAAACTGAAAGCAATGACTCCGACTTGTTAATATTGAGATAACAGTTGAAAAACTAAGTGCAAACAAAGACAAGTAGAACAAACTGGTCATTTTTCACACACACAATAAGTGATTTCATGATATTTAGACCTTTGCAGAAATTAATATGACTACCAGAAAAAAATAACTATTGAAAGTTCAACAGACTGAAACCAACCTGAAGGAGTACTTCTGNCCAACCTGTTGAACTGGTTCCCAAAGAGGTCTGGGTTGTGGAATGGCCTATATAACATCAAACAGGCCTTGTCAACTCACTTGACTAAGCTTATCTTATGTAACTCTAAGACTTTGAATATTTTTTTTTAATCATTTGTTCTTTGCAGTTCATTTAATTAGTGACTTTTAGTCAGGTCTAATTATTCTGAGAACTAATGTGTTAGCCAGTGTTTGTGACACTTTAATGAGGACAAAACAGATCACAATACAGGTTACAATTTTATATTTAGTTATGTTACAAGAGTGCCAATTGTTTTATAGCTACTGTGTAATACACTATTTACCACCATTTTATTCTAAACAAGGGGAAAAAACAGAAAAGAGAAACAGAAACACACACAAATGCCATGGCTAGATCCTTCTTCAACAGAGTTTTTTGGGGGTGATCTTGGTACTAAGTAAATGTGCTGTGAAGGTGGAACAGTTAATTGACTTGTGTACTTTTCAGCTAACTGAAAGAAGTGATCCACTATATGTAGTGGTCATAGCAAATGGCTGTCAAAACTGAAAGAAATGACTCTGACTTGTTAATATTGAGATAACAGTTGAAAAACTAAGTGCAAACAAGACAAGTAGAACAAACTGGTCATTTTTCCTCCTCGCATCATCTTCTTCTTCAATGTAATGGACAAAAGACAAATGAAGAACTTGAATTCATGCCAAAGTTGTTAGTGGGGGGAGGGGGAGGAATCTGGGAGAAAATTGGGTGGCAGTGGTACAAGTGGAGGGAGTGGAAAGGGCAGGAATTGGGATTTCTAAGAGGGCAGGAAGCGAGAGAAATGCAAAATGCTTACTTTTGTTCAAAAATAGGCTTAAGGTAATTCCTCTGAAATAAAAGTGACAATAGATTTTTGTTCAAACTTTGTCCACTGAATATT